TATCATCGCTGCAACAACCACATGAAAATACAACACTCAAACGCATAACATTATCGTGCATGATGGATTCTATTCACAAGTCGTCATCAAAGGGAGCGACGCTCAAGTCGTCATCAAAGGGAGCGATGTTTTGCCGGTCTCGACAAGGAGGGAAAAACGTAGTTGCATGTTTCACCCAACCCTCATAGTCAGATTGGATGCAGTAAGACATCGCCTCTGACAAACGGTCTGCCATGTCTTGCTCCATGCTATTACCATCATATTCGTTTCGAAATTTCGTTTTCACCTTTTAGACGCGTGTTATTATTAGATGCAATGCAAATGTGCGATGCAAATAAAAAGTCATGACAAAGAAAAGATACCTTTGAAAAGAATTCCTCAATGGGATTAAGGAATGGTGAATAACGAGGAAGTGGTACTACATGGAAACCACGGCTCTCGACTGCGTCATTGATGTAAGCGGGCTTATGGATGGCAGCATTGTCGAAAACTAGATACCACCCATGTCGACCCTCTTCATCTAAAGCATCCATCACCTTCTCAAGGAAAGCCAAGAAATCAGCACTACAGGAAAACTTGTCAGTCTAGTTATTGGTGAAATGCACAATAACAACCTTCAGCTTACCCAGTCGTGTTCTTGTTGAACTTCTCCTTTGCAACATTTTCCACTTCTTCATAATCATCATCATCATCATTCTTTTTGCTGGACTTCTTCTTCGGCTTAGCCTTGGTTTTGCCTTTTTTATCACCCTTTTGACGAGCATCAGGGTGGACTTTCATGGCAGCTTCAACCAATCCAGAGCTAGTGATAGCTGCCAAAAGGGAGACTGAGACTGCACGGCTTTTGGGTACCTGCACATGCGCCGGTGTTCCAGCTCGAGACCAGGCATAATTACGTCTTATGCTGCTGTTGAAAGCAGCCTCGTCAATGAAGACGCAATTATGCATATAGCTAAACGCCCTGTATTCGTCTTCAACACCTTCTTTATCAACAAGGCGTTTGACGTATGCTTGACGTTCATCTTTGATCTCGTCATAATTACGCTTTTCAGGATATCTACTAGCACGCTTCAATGTGATACCAATACGATCAAGGTGCCTTTGGATGGTAGAGATCGATAGCAAAACACCGATCTGCCTTTGGTAGCTATCCTGAATTTGTCTCAGTGTGGTCGTGTTGTTATCCCTCACACATTGGCGAATAAGATTATCACCGTCTTCTGTGATCATTGGGTCCGATCCTCCCTTTGGCATGGGGATGATGCCTCTTCCAGATTTATGCTTTTTGGCGAGGTACGATATGGCACCGATCGAGATCTGGAAATCCTTGGCAATGGATCTATAGGGCTCGGCTCTTGACACATGCATCATAATTTGGTTAATCTGATCCTCTCTCAGATTATGGCCATTCTTCTTTCCACCCTTCTTGGATCGCCGAGTGGATCCTGATGTTTGCTCAGCAGAAGTCTTTTGTGGCAAATGAGGTGGTCTGATCTCCAAAAATGACAACTTTTGCTGACCACTCCCAGCTTTATCCCCTTCTTCAACATTGTCGTTCGCTTGACGATATGCTGTAAAAGCAGCAGGTGCAACTTCGTCAACGTTCATAGGAACAACTTCTGGTTCGACAGTTTTTGACATATGTGTATATTACATCATTATAGTTTAGTGGTCATTTGTTGCAACATGCAAGTGTCCTTAACATTCTATGCTCTTACAAGTATGATGGGTCTGTTCAGGAACACGGCTTCGCATATAAGCGTTGCGAGCATTTCTGCGACCTAAGAATGAGGTGGGCTTGACATGTGCACGAGACTTTTGTGTGGATGAACGGGTGGTAACCATGATATGAGATAATGAAGAGGGTAGGAAATCGGTGAGTTGGGGAGAACAGCAGCATAATCCATATACGTGGCACTGAATACATAACATCTCGTGTGACGTCCCATGAATGCAATGTAGCCAAACAACGATGCAAATGACGGCTCATTCTTTATTTCAGGCCTCTGAAGAAATATCAGGCAATTCATCGACACATAGGTTCAACTCCACTTCAAGAAAATATGATACTAGTTGTTGACGTGAAAGCACCCTATATCGCTCTAGATATATACGAGTAAGCGATTACTACAATGGTGTTATTAGTTGGTGTCATACTTACTTTCACTCTCACACTCTATTGTCAACCGACGTATCCTTTCTTGGATATCCTTTATATCATTTTCAACTTGTATACTCTCCAAATCATTAAAGCTCTTTTGTTTTTGGAACGTTTTAACGCGTCCTTTAAGGACCATGAGTGACCTCATGGCCCTCTCCTTGTCATCTGCTCCTAAAGTTCCCTTTTGCTTCTTGCTTTTGGATGCAGATCCCTTCTTAATTACTTTGGTTGATGTAGTACGTTTGCTGGTCATTGTCACTGATAGTTGAGAAACGAGAGAAAGGAATAGTATGCTGCACTTGTTGGTTTAAATATGTATGAAACGGTTGTACAAGGAAGTTTACAAATACGGTACGCTGCTATGAGTGTTTGGTTTGCTTTTTATCTCAAATCCTATTATTCACTCTGTCACCACGTACTACTTTCAATATGTCTTCTGAACGCACCTCCATTACCAACCTCTCACGCAAGGAGCTTCGAGCCGTTGATGTGCTGGCAACCCAATTTCGACGCCACTGCTCCTTCAACGAGGCAACTGGTGAGTTACCTGTTTATAAGATCCCTATGATCAAACAAGCGTTGACAATGTCATTAGCATCATCAGAGCAGCATGAGAGCGCTCAGCCTCACCACCAAGGCGAAGAGGCAAATGTAAATGCCAATGGTAAGTATTATAATGTCAAATAAAGAAAAATAGCTATGTTTACATGATATTGTAGAAGATGAGACGATGCATGATGTGCCACCTGACACCAACGACCAGGCTGGTGGTCAATCGACTGCCAGAGCATCACCGAAAAAACCTGGTTTTCGGGGTCCATACAAGCGCTACAATGACTTGCAACGCGCACGTACTGCCCTGGATGTTGGTTTTGGGTACAAACTCGATTCTGCTGGTGACAGAAATGGCATGGCCCATTCCACTGTCCGCCATTTGCGGAATCGGTTTAAGAAGACTGGCACTTTTGCGCCACAAAAGAGAGGGCGTAAGCAAAAGAATGAATTCACAGATGCTATGAAGCGTTACATCGTTCGTTTTATCGACGATAACCCTTCCGCTGGCAAAGTGGAAATCCATTCTGCGCTTGAGAGTCATATGCAATTTTGCAATGCTCTTCCCGCCCGATCTGCCATCGATAAATGGTTGCCTCGTAATGCAGCCATTTCCCTTGTGCAACGCCATCTCTTCCCCCCAGCACCATCTGCCAATGAAGAAAGGGAGCAGCAACAGCAGTTCACCACAAGAACGCAAGAATTGGGTATCACTGTTGATGAATGTGTCTTCGTGGGAGAAATGAGGTAATATTGGATCACACGTTTATATGTTTGAAATCATACTGAATTGGTAATAAATGTAGCTACGATATGCAACGCAATCGTACTTATTCAAATAAGCCAGCAAAAGCAGGATGTGAGATGCCAACGCATCCTGACATGATCATCCGTGCTGCGTTTACCAAGAGCATGCCAATTTGGCTCTATGGTGCTGAATGGACCCCATGCACGGATCTTGACGCTTGGCTTGAATTTGTTGTTTGCCTTGTGGACAAGTTACGATCCCAAGGTAGAGATCGCTGCGTCTTGGTGTTTGACAGCACCTCAGCCGAAGTGCAACAAGCTATTGTGCAAAAGCTGAGGTGTTTGTCACATGAACATCAAGCGTTTTTTATCCCACGGGAAACGAACCCGGTGTCCCGTTTCTTTGAAGATGTCGTTGCGAAGCTTAACAGGGGTAAGCTCAATACCCAATCAAAGGAAACGGTGGCAACTCGTCTCTTGGCACTGGGGCAAGATTTGCTCAAAGAGCATCCAGCTCAATATGTGAGCGAGGCTATGACCTCTCCTTCCTCTCCTTCCTCTCTTTAATAAACACCTTTAATCATATGATACTCCTCCAACATCCAAAAAAGCTCGTTGTTATCGTGTAGTCTAGCTGTTTTGCAGGTTGTGTATTGGTCATGTATTC